ATCTGGCTCGTTCCTGGCCTGCAGGTAGAAGCAGTGAGGACCCAATCTCACTAATCCCAGCGTTCACCTCTTGTCCCCATTTCCTACGAGCAAGCTAATGCAAAGCCCCGACAGTGATTCAAGGATGCTGCCGTTCTCCACTTCCCCTGTCAACAGTGTGCCAGCTCCCACAACTCAGCGGGCCAAACACAGGGACACACTGGGACCTGGGACAAAGGACCAATGTGAAAAGGTGCCCGATTGAGAGGCCCGTCCTCGGTAACTGTTTTGTCCTGCATACCACCTCACTGCTATAGGGGTTGAGTGACTCAGGTCCTTAGCTCCCAAGGTCCTATGGGCCAATCCCCCAACCTTGAGAATGCAGACGGACAGGGCCAACACCACCGAATCCTAAATGCCCCCTAGTGCCTGAGGAGCAGGCACAGGTGCTCCCAAGGGACAGAGCTCCCCACTGGCACAAGGTTTTCTGCGACAGTAACCTCTTCCCTGGCGAGATGAAGGCCCTCATCAAGTGGCCTGGCGAGTATGGCTGGAGCAAGGATGCGGGGGTGGGCAATCAGGACATTTGGGGCGACCAGGGGCAGTGTTGACATGGATGATACAAACACTCAAGCACAAGTGGCGGGCGCCCGGAGGCGATTCCTGGGCGGAGAAACCGGCTACTGCCGTAAAATGGGGGCCAGACGTGGAGTCCAACGGCCCGGCCCAGTCGGGTCAGCAGTCCGGAAGGTGCTGCAGCCATCGATGGGCGAGCGGCAGTAACCGCTGGGGCGGAGAAGGGGCCGCCAGCGGGAGGGCTGGCGGGCTGGTTTCTGTTGGGGGTCCTTGGGAGATCGGGGGCGCGGTCTGGGGAGCCGGGCCCGGCCCTGTACTCACAATGCCGGGGAGGTCGGCGTATTTAGGGTCCGCCATGGCGGCGGCGAGGCGGGGCTGGGGGACCGAGGCCTCGGTGGAGCCGGGGCCGGTGACCGGGTGGGGGAAGAGGCTGGGTCCGAGTCCCCGGCTAAGGCGACGGTAAAGGGAGCGGCAGAAGAGCAGGAAGTCTCGCGACAGGAATCGCCCGGCAGAAGGGTACGGCAAAAGTCGCGAGGACGGCCGGCTACCACACCCCTAGAGAGCCTGGGATTGGTGCGAGCGACGGGGAATGAGGTAATGGCGAGGAGACGCCGTGTGGCATTGTGGGATATGTAGTCCCGGGCCTCTGGGGCTGGGACTGGGAACGACGATAGCACACCTTAGGGAGAGCTAGTTCGTACAGCTTATTCTCCATCATTTTTAATAGACTCCGAAAGGGATTGCATAATTCTTACCTCCGAACATCTGGAGGTGGGCTCGATGAAATCACACAGCTCGTCGCGTTGTGAACAACAGTTACGATTTAGTAAAAAAGGGAAACCGTCTTTTCAGATGAGGGCTGCCGGACAAAGCAGAGGGTCCCCCAGTTAAATTATAATTTCAGAGCCGGGCGTTGGTTGTGCAGGCCTTTAACCCCAGCACTTGGGAGGCAGAGGCAGGCGGATCTCTGTGAGTTCGAGGCTAGCCTGGTCTACAAAGCGAGTTCCAGGAAAGCCTCCAAAACAATACAGAGAAACCCTGCCTCGAAAAACCAAAAAAAAAAAAAAAAAAAAAATATATATATATATATATATATATATATATATATATATATATAATTTCAGGAGCTGGAGAAATGTCTCAGCAGTCAGGGGCACTGGCTGCTGTTTCAGGGCCCCCGGGTTCGATTCCCAGCACCCACATGGTGGCTTACAGTCATTTATAACTCCGGTTCCTAGTGCTCTCTTCTGACCTCTGAGGGCACCAGACACACGTGGTGCACAGACATACATGCAGGCAAGGCATTCATATACATTAGATACATAATACTAATAAGAATTTTTTAAAAATTGAATTTCAGGACGGGCAGTGGTGGTGCACACCTTTAATCCCAGCACTCGGAAGGGAGAAACAGGCAGTTTGAAGCCAGCCTGGTCTACAGAGTGAGTTCCAGAACAGCCAAGGCTACAAAAACTGTCTTGAAAAAACAAAAAAACACCACAAAAGCATGTGTCTTATTATAGCTGTGATATGCACATAATAATCTGAGATTCAAATTTGTCTGGGTATGCTATTTATGGATTCTTTTCCAAAATTTGAAAATCTAAATGGAAAAAATGATGGCTCCAAGTCTGACTGAACACTTCGTGGTGGTCATCACTTCATTAATAGTCTCCAGAAATTAGGAGGAGGGATTCGCCCAAGTGTCCTAGAACTCAGTTTTCAGTGTTGGGTATTGAACTGGGGACCTTGCACACAGTAGCTTTGTGTCCAGGCTGACAACCCCTGCTGGAGAATAGCCATACTATAGGTACTCTGTCCACTTTGCCAAGTATATACATGACAAAGAAACACTAATTCAATTTACTTGATTGAACTTTTATTTATTTATTTATTGCGTGTGTGTGTGTGTGTGTGTGTGCGTGCGCGCGCGTGCGCGTGCGCGCGCTCTAGCACTTATCTCTACATGAGTCTGGAGTTCACAGGACAACTGTCATTTGTCTGTTGTTTCTTCCCACCATGGAGGAACCTGGGAATCAAACTCAGATCATGGTTTGTTGACAAAGCCCCTTTCCCTGCCGAGCCATCTCACTGACCCATTTTTTTTGGGGGGGGAGGTTTGAGAGAGGGTTTCTCTGTGGCTTTGAAGGCTGGTCTCCAACTCACAGAGATCCACCTGCCTCTGCCTCCCGAGTGCTGGGATTAAAGGCATGCGCCACCAACGCCTGGCTTCTCACTGACCCATTTTTGAAACAGAAGAGAAGACTAGACATAGTGCTCACCTTTAGTCCCAGCCCTCTTGAGGCAGAGACAGGCAGATCGCTGAGTTCCAGGATAGTCTGGTCTACAGAGCGAGTGACAGGACAGCCAGGACTACACAGAAAAACCCTGTCCTGAAACAACAATGGAAGAGGAGGAGGGGGAAAAGAAGTATAAATCTACTCTGTGCTATTGCCATCGTTATCTAGTAGAGAAATAAGAAGACAAGCCGGGCGTTGCCTTTAATCCCAGCACTCAGGAGGCAGAGGCAGGCGGATCTCTGTGAGTTTGAGGCCAGCCTGGTCTACAGAATGAATTCCAGGACAGTCTCCAAAACAATACAGAGAAACCCTGTCTCAAAAAAAAAAAAAAAAGAAAAGAAAGAAATAGGAAGGCATACACAGGATAAAAGGAAGTTCTCAAGCCAGACTTGGCGATGCCCTCATATATACATATACTCCCAGCACTTGGGAGGCTGAGGCAGACAAGGACAGCCTGGACTACATACCAAGTTTCAGGCTAGCCTGAGCTATGTAGAGAGGACCCCCATCTCAAAAATTAAAATAAAAGGCAGTGCTTTGAATATTGACTGACACAGCTATATAAAAACTTGGTGCGTGCGTGCGTGCGTGTGTGTGTGTGTGTGTGTGTGTGTGTGTGTGAGTGTGTGAGTGTAAGTATGTACCCGTGTGCTCACACCCACTGAACTTTTGTCTCTGACCAGTGAGTGTCTATAGACTGGCATTTTGAAGCCATTTCACTAAGGATGCCACTTTTTTTTTTTTACCTCTAGAGGCCGGATGTTGGTATATTTCCCGAGCTTTCAAGATGCTGCAACCCTCAGGAATAGTGCCAGGCAGCTGACTGTAGAGCTCCGGAGTTAGGAACTCATTGTCATCCTCATTCCTGGCTTCTGCCCAAGCCTTGGCCTCCATCACCGTGATCCTGGACTCTTGTTTGTAGCTTTCAACTTCCTTCTCCTCCAGTTCCCTGTGAGTGGCGGAGGCCTGGCTCACTTGATTCCTGGAGGTTGAGGGCTTGTTTGCCTAAACCTCCATCATCTCCCCTTGCCCCATAGTGCCTAACTGACTCTAGACACTGGCCAGTTTCTGAGAGAAGGCCTCCACCCCCTCCTGCCTTCTCCCATCACCCCACTCCTCCTCTTGGCTAAAACCTCAAGTCCTGCAGCTTAGTTCTCTGTTGGCTAGCGGAGGCCATGACATTGAGCAAAATCAATTTGTCCAGCTCTTGATGTTTCTACTCAGGGGCTGCGGCGGGGAGCCTGACCCAAGGGGAAGAAGGACAATAGTTCTCTGGGTTTGGCTTTTGCTTTTCTTTTTTCCTGACCAGGAAACAGGGAGAAGAAAAGAACGGCTTTAGAAAGGGGTTGGGGCATTGGGACTCTATCCAGAGGTAAGTAGGGCAGTAAATAAACAGATATCTAAGCCGGCCTGAGACTCAAACATAGCTGTCTGTCCTAGAAAATCCTCATACAGTACCTCTAGCGTCTTGTTCCCATCGTCTCCCTTTCTTGGGACTTTTAGATGATCATTCTCTTGAAAAAGCTGCCCCTGCTTATCTGTATCTTAGCTCCAACCTCAGAGGCACCGTGGAGGACCCCATGTGTTAATACTGATGGCCCAGAAGATAGTTTGTCTTCACTCTATTTGGGGACCTGATTATCACCAGATGGTAGCACTTTCTGTGAGGAAAGGAAGGGAGTAAGCTAGATTTTACAGCCACTTCAAGGCATGGGACCTGGACACCACTTCCATAGACACATACCCATGCAGGCTGTATATCTGGGCAGGGGAAAGAGGCTGGGGCGGGAGGGATGACAAATGTGACTTAAATATGGAAAGAGGGTTGTAATGGGTTTGGGGGATGTTCTGGAATAAAGAGGGTTGGGGCTGTTCCCCAGGTAGGCCACAGGCCCACCTTAGTCCTCTAATCCGTTCCTGGAGGTGGAGCCTGAGAGGGAACAGACGGGTCGCGTGGAGCCCAGTGAGTGGTGTAGGAAAGGGGTGAGGACATGGTTATCCGCGAGCCTTAAGGATCGAGGAGGAACCAGGTGAGCCAAACTCCACCTCTGGGTGGTCGCCGTCCAGTATGGCTCACCCCCTGCGAAGGAAACCCCGCCCCCGCTGCTCCTGCGCGCCCCGCCCAGGCCCGCAGCGCGGCTGCAGCGCGAGGGGCGGAGAGGCAGAGCGCGGCTAGAGGACCAGACGCCCAGGTCGCCCGCATCCAGTGCCGCAGGAGACCCAAAGCTCTCCTTCGCCCGGGCGTCCCAGCTGCTGCCTTCGCCCCAGCGACTGATCACCTGTCCTCCGCCTCGACCTCAGCTCGGCGCTCCCTGGCTCCCGAGCACACACTACCCCGTGCAGCCGGAGACTCGCCCCAGCCCTCGTCGGCGACCACCATGGCGGACACCAACAACGAATGCAGCATTAAGGTGCTTTGCCGTTTTCGGCCCCTGAACCAGGCGGAGATTCTGCGGGGGGACAAGTTCATTCCCATTTTTCAAGGGGACGACAGCGTCATTATTGGGGTGAGTGCCGCATCCGAAGGAAATTAGAGGAGGGGGAGGGATGCAAACATCTTTTCACCTCCAAGACTTAAGCTCCTACGCCTGTCATTCTGCAGCGGCTCCGGGCTGCTCGCCCTGCATCCGCCGCAGCCCCTCCTCTCCCCTGCATCAGGATGACTGGGTGTGGCCTGCCTAGGCCTGCAGCCAAGTCTCTGCAGAGTGGGAGGGGGCCCCTTCCTTGTCATCGGGAGCCCCAACTTGTCTTTGCCACTCTCTTGGAATGTTCCCACCTTTAGAGCCAGTTCCCTGCTTTGGGGATGTTTCTCCCCCCCCTTCCGCCCCCCGCCAGAGAAAGAGCGTTTTCCCTTTGTTATTGGCTTGCATCTCTACCTCAATCTCCAGAAAGGGAGGGGAAGATCGGTGAATGGGATAGATCAGAAATGGGAAGTCTAGGGTCTCTGTGGAGGAGTGAACCGGAGTGGATTCTAGAACCAACCTTTCATCACCTGAAGTAGTTGCTGCCTGGACTTGGGGTGGGGGAGGGGGTGCAGGTCTGATGAAGGGTTTTCTGGGAAAGAACTACATCGATGCCACACCCAATTGAGGAGGCAGCCTCTAGAACCCTACGGAAGAGTCTGCCTTTCTATCCCAAGTATAGTGTCAAGTGGACTGCAGACTCCCAAACCCTCTCAAGTCAAAATGCCCAAGCCCCCAGTTTATCTATTCATCTGATTTATCTATCTTCGTTGTATTGGAGACCCAATACAATGTGCCAGGTGACTGCTATCTCATCATGCTAGCCCTTCCCCATGGAGGTCTTGGGGAACATTGACACCTCATCATGTACTTGGTAGTCTGTGTTTAGTACCGACTTCTCAAAACTGCAGTCTTCAGGTGGTGATCATGTTTCCATTTTACAGATTAGGAAAGTGAGGCCCAAGCAGGTTGAATGACTTTCTCAAGGTCATGCTGAGAATCTGTAGATCTCTTCAGTCTACACGACTGGACTCAAGTCTGTGATTCCAAAACTCATGAGATTTTCCTTTGTGTCACCTTGTCTCCCCAGATGTCTGTTCCAGACCATTATCTGTGATGCCTAAAGGGACCTCAGGCTGTGAGGGGTGAGAGGAGCGGTTTGAGTTCTGCAGGGTTTTGGGGGTACTGAGCCTAGAGACTAGTGCCAGTTTTGGAAGGGAGGGCACCTGTGAGGGCAGTCCTCAAGGTCAGGGTGATTCCTCTGTGTCTTAGTCTACGGTGCTTGGCATAAAGCAGTGAGAAAGGAGACTTGGACCTCCTGAGTTAGGGAAAATAGGACCTGTTTGTAAACATGTCTCTGAGAAAGCCCCAGGCTCCTACCCTAGCCTGTCACACACTCACTCACACACGGGGCACTTCTTCTGCTACATGGAGGGCATCTCTGTTTTGTCTTAGGGACCCTAGGTTTGCTGTTTGGTCCAAGTGGCCAAGTTAAAGAAAGCCCCCAATCAACCCCAGGGACCCCCGCCCTGAGTAACCTGGCTGGCTTTCCGTGGGGGATTTGCACTTTGAGGCCCCTTTAAGTCGCAAAGACTGGAAAGCAGGAGGGGTGGTCATGGGAAGCAGTCGTACTAGGAGTGTCCTTAGGCTCTGAGAGTCTTACTGGTATGGGGTGGGTCCTGGCCCGTGATGTTACGAGGAAGGATTGAGGGAGGCGTCTGTCCATTAGCTTAGTCCTGCTAAGCAGGGGAGGCACCCAGGGACGTGGGGAGAGAGTGGAGTTGAAAAGAAGCCCGTGGTCCTGTGATAAAGTAGATCCTATCCAGCTCTGCGGTTGGGCTCCTCTTACCTGTGCTGCCGGGACTGGTGGGGTTATACCTTTGTCTAGTTCTGACTCTCCCATGCTCAAGTCTCTCACTCAAGGAGTAAGTTCTCACAGGGGCCATTTTGTCTCAGGCAGCTTCCTCAGAGCCGCCTGCCTCCTGGACTTTCATCCCCATCCATCCCCATCCGCCCAAGGATGGCTTAGAAGGGAGGACTGTGAGGAGGCCCTCGAAGGTTCCCCGAGGCCATGGCAACCCCTGCCTCTCGTCTCCTCCTCTAGCTCTCTCTGGGAGCCAGCGTGTGGGGAACTGCCTGATGATCAGTGGGAGAAGCCACTTCAGAATGTCTGGGGTTGAGGGACAGGATCACCCACCAGAGCCAGAGGCCTCTGCTCCCTCCTGTGCTGGCCGGCTCTCCCTTCTCCACCCATCGCTGCAGCTTGCTCTGGGCTCAGGGGGCCTCTGTCCCTGGCCGAATGGGCTTGCAGGGGGTACAACAGCAAGATGGAGACAGTTCTGTAGGTCTTTGCCCTGACTCTCTGACTTCCCTTAGGAACTAGCGGGTGGGATTCGACAAAGTCAACAGCCTGAGTCGTGGTAGGCCTGGGGCGCGGCCTGCGTGTGGTGGACCGCCTTGATTTGTCCTTTTTGCATTTAGAATCCAGTCGACTGTTGTCACCTAACTTGTTTAGGTGTCTTCCTGGCTTTTCTCATCTTTGTTCCAGCCTGGGCCGCTGTGTCTGTACCAGATGTGGGGGGAGGGGTGACAGCAAGGACTCAATTAGTTTCCATCAGACCCCACCCCTCGTTTCAGCTGTCCAAAACTTCTTCCCTCAGGCCTCCCAAAAGTTAAACGAATTCTGCTTTTGTTTTTGTCTCTGTGTAGCCTTGACTATACTGGAACTCGCTCTGTAGACCAGGCTGGCCTCAAAATCACAGAGATCCACCTGCCTCTGCCTCCCCGAGTGCTGGGATTAAAGGAGTGTGCCACCAACGCCCGGCTTGTTTTTGATTGTTGCTGGGTTTTTTTTCATTACGTTTATTTATTTTGCGCACACGCTGTGGGTGGTGGCCATGCATGTGCTACAGCACACATCAGGGTCAGGGGACAGCTCTTCCTCCCACCGTGCAGCGCCTCAGGATTGAACCAACACCGGGTGTGGCGCACCTTCACCCACCGGGTTATCTCCGTGGCCCAGCTCTGGCTTGTTTTGTTGTGAGACAGGCCTTCTATGTGTCTCGGGATAGTCTGACACTCTGGGTATCCCCGTCTGCACTCAGACTTCCTGTGCTGTCTCAGCCTCTCGAGTGCTGTGATTGCAGCCTGTGCCACCATCACTGCTTTGAGGGTCCTGGGATTTCTGAAGGGAGAGCAAGGATCTCTTTAGCTTTGAGGGGAGGGTCCTGAAGGGAAATGGAGAGCCGAGGCAATGTTCATTGTGGCTAGTTTCTCTCGAGCATTGGCATGGCAACAGTACCCATGGGTGTCACCATACAATAGGGCCTGGTGCTTGAAGTTTGGGTTCTACCAAGTGTTTTCTTGACAACGGAGCAGGTGTTTGAACCCCTAATCTTATGCTCCCCATTAGCATCAAGCAGCACATGTGATGTGTGAGGTGCTGGGTCCTCTCCTGTGCCAGCTTATGAGGGAGGTTCAGAGTGGAGCCCTGGCTGTGGGACTCTGCAGGGAGAGCCCTGGGGATGACTGGGCGGAGCATGGAGCTTGCAGGGCTGGGAGAGAGCAGCTCCCCGGTGGAGAGGCTTCTGCAGGGCTTTTTCTAACAGAGCAGGTCATTCAGCTTTGGGGCTTTGACATTAGCTGGGTGTGACATTACCTGGAGGAGGAAAGAGTGGAAAGGGACCTCTGAAAGGATTTGTTTTGGGGGGGAGACTTCTAAAATGAGGTTGATGAAAGGGCTTTAGTTCTACTTGAAAACACTTTGAGAAATACAGACCAGGGAGGGCATGAAGCAGCAAGGACAGAGCCAGAGAAGACTCTGATATGGGGCGGATGTCTGCGGTACCTTGGTCACTTTGAGTATGGGTTTGCAGCCAGGAACACGGGGCTTTAGAGCCATGCTCACCATTTCATAGCTGTGTGACCGTGGGCAGACTATTGACCTCTCTGAGCCTCATTTTCCTCATTTACAAAGTGAGGATAATAATGCTTACCTCCTAGGATTATCCTATTATTTTTTTGTTTTTAATTTTTATTTGGGGAGTGGGCATGTATGTGAAAATATGTGCGTGAACTTGCACATAGGTCCACAGACAGAGGCTGAAGAGCACCCTTGTCTTCTACCTCTTCCCTTGAGAGTCTTCCTGAAACTGAGGCTCACTGTGGAGGCTGGGCTGGTGCCCAGCAACACCTTGGGGTCCGCCCCCCTCACCCTCTCAGCACTAACGTCACAGGCACACACAGTCATGCCCAGGTTTTCTGTGGGTGCTGGAGATATGAACTCAGGTCCTCATGTGTGCACAGCCAGTGATCTTACTGCGTCACCTCTGCAGCCTCTGTTCCCATCGTACTTTAAAATCACATTTATTTATTTGTGGGGTGGGGCACACGTGTGCAGGTCAGCTGGCAGGAATGAGCTCCTGCTTTCCACCGAGTGAGGCCTGTGAATGGAACTCAGGCTTGGCGGCCGCAGGCGCCTTTATCCGCTGAGCCACCTCACCAGCCCTGTTCGCTGTTTTTTGAGACAGGTTTTTGCCGTGTGTCATTGGCCAGTTTATAACTCACTGTGTAGTCCAGGGTGGTTCAAGTTCAAACTTGAGGTAACCTTCTTGCCTTAACCTCTTTGAGTGGGATTACAGCTGTGTGCCCCTATGCCCCAAACAGTTAAAAGTTTGCCTGAGAAGTTAAAAGTCAGCTTGACACACCTGTAAGTCCTAGCACTCAAGGGGCTGAGGCAGAAGGATTACAGGTTTGGGCCAGCTTGGACTCCACCGAGAGGCCATGTCTAAAAACAAAACAAACAAAACAAAACAAAGGTGGGCAAGGGGGTTGCTGGGGACGGTTCAGGGGTTCAGAGCGCTGGCTGCAGTTCCGGGAATTGGCTGCCCTCTTCTGGTGCTTGAATGCAGTACACATGCATACATGCAGACATACACTCATACACATAAAACAAAGATGTTATTCTTACACATTTTTCTCTGCACAAGTAAAATTTGGAAGTGCTTAGCACATTGCCCTCTTATTAATGGTTTCATCCAAATCGC